TTGATTTACAATATATTTCAGAGAGCATATTACCAGGTATCAAAATACAGGTTTTTTCCAATTAAATTTAGAAAACCTTTCTGAAGCGTATTCTCATATTAAAAGAATTATGTGTTCAAGAAATCTCCTGATTTATCTTTACAGCAACATGAAGAATGCATTTGTTGTACCAAAAATAAAGCAACCAGTCATTAGAAAGAAGTATTTTCTAGTTCCCAAAATGTCACAGGTCATTAACTGAGTGGCTAATTGACGGGTATGGTATAGTGTTGTCTATTGTTAAGCAAATGAGCGTATTCTTCAGTGAAGAGTCCTAAATAGTGTGTTGTGATTGCTTAGTGTGGTGGAAATGAACAACCCTGAGTAATTGATTGCAGTGTTCACAAGGCCTGTTTGTTTTTAGTATTCTTTGCAGTCTCTGGATCTGTTTATTCTGGGACTACTCAATCCTTGGTCCTAGATACTCTGCTGGTTTTTGAACAGAGTTCAGACTGTTCTTTGTAACACAGCCTTACAAACAAGGATGAGGAGATGTGCAATAGCCCAGTGTTGATCTGAAACTTCTGAAGGACTCTGTGCAATACTTGGCACATTGCATAGACTTTGAGCAAATAAATGCATTTCAGATCAGTCTTCCACTTCTTAATTTGACTTTATAAAATGGAGCAAACCATGTGGATGAAATTAGGAAATTTAGATTAGAACAAGAAACTATTCTGGAATGGAAGGCATGCTATGCTGTAGAGTCCTCTTTTAGATATGATGTTGGCCAGAAACCTTACTAAAACTAAAGGGGAAAGGCTTAGTCATTTCCCCTTCTTTAACTGCATACTATGTTAAAACAAGAGAAAAACAAACCTTCCCTAAATTCATTCAAATTATAATTTACTAAACTGTTTAATAGAAATCAGTGACACAATTAATACTTCACAAATGTATATGATATCATGCAAAATGAATCAACTATATAGCCTTTTTTAAATTTTAGAATAAAAAATTCAGAATCACATTATCCAAATTATTTTTATACTTACTCTATTTAAAATTTGAAAAATGTAATTAGCAATTTATCATTGATGCTGTCATCTTTCTAAGTATCTTCCCATTTAACAGGCATTATTGATGAAAATATTAACTGTTTTTATTTATTTCACAATACAGTCATATGGAACGATTATTATTATTTATAATGCTTGTATGGGAGTCTTGTGAAAACAAAAATGTACCCATCAATATTGTTTCTTAGCTTATCAGTTACAAATTAGCTAGCAAAAATCAAAAAATTTTATTACCATCATCAACATTCACTTACTGTAGATTGAAATTTGGGTCATTTAATAATCATTTTTTTTCTTTTTGAAAATATTTTAATTATTTCATTTTAAATTAATGTATAATTGTACATATTTATGGGGTACATGATATTTCAATACGTGTTATATGTAATGATCAGATTAGTATAATTAGTATATCCATCATCTCAAACATTTGTTATTGCTTTATGTTGGGAACATTCAATATCCATCTTCTAGCTATTTGAAACTATATAACATATTATCATAAACTAAAATCATCCTACAGTGGTATAGAAAAATAGGGCTTATTTGTCCTTTCTTGCTGTAATTTTGTATTCTTTTTAAAATCTCTCCCTATCCACTTTTACCCCTTACCCTTTCCAGCCTCTGTTCTACTTTTTACTTTTCTGAGATCAACTTTTCTAAGCTTCCACCTGTGAATGGAAATATGGGGTGTTTAACTTTCTGTTCTTGGGTTATTTCACTTAACAGTATGTCCTCTGGTTCGATTCATGTTGCCACAAATGACAGGATTTTATTCATTTTTATGGATGAATTGTATTTCATTGTCTATGTATGCCACATTTTTTGTCTATGTCATCTGCTATAGAACAGCACAGTTGATTCTATATCTTGTCTTTCGAGAATAGTGCTGCAATAAACATGGGGGTGCAGATGTATCTTTAATATACTGATTTTCTTTCATTTGGATAAATGTCTGGTGGGATTGCTGGATCACATGGTAGTTCTATTTGTAGTTTAAAAATATTAATTCTTCATGTTGCTGTTTCTATATAGTTGGTATTTAATTGATCTTTATATATAGTTAATTTATTGGATCCAAGAAGGTGAAATCTGAAACAATAAAAAAAAAGTAATAGCTGTTTATTGGTGGAATTATGTCCTTCCAAATTAGTATGTTGAAATCCTAACTGCTAGCACCCCAAAACATGACCTTATTTGGAGAGGGGGTTTTCACAGAGGTGATCAATTTAAATGAGATTATCAGAATGGATCCTAATCCATAATGACTGTTTTATTTAAAAAAAGAGTTTTAAGTCCAGGCGCCAGAGCTCACACCTGTAATCTTAGCACTTTGGGAGGATGAGTTGGAGACCAGCCTGACCACTGTAGTGAAACCCTGTCTCGACTAAAAACTAAAATTACAAAAATTAGCCAGGCACAGTGGCCCGCAACTGTAGTCCCAGCTACTTGGGAGGCTGAGGCAGGAGAATCACTTGAGCCTGGGAGGCGGAGGCTGCAGTGAGCCCAGATCATGCCACTGCACTCCAGCCTGGGTGAACAACAAAAAAAAAAGAGTTAGTTTAGAGAGAGATGCACAGATAGAAAGCTATGTGAAGATGAAAGCAGGGATTGGGATGATGCTTCTATAATTCAAGGAATGACAGAGATTGCCAGAGAACAACCAAAGGCTAGGGACGAGGAAAGGAACAGGTTCTTCCTCACAGATCTCAGAGAGAAAAAACCTTGTCAACACTTGATTTAGGACTTTTAGCTTCCAGAACTTTGATACAATACATTTATGTCATTTAAACCATCCAGTTTGCAGTACTTTGTTGTAACAGTCCTAGCAACTAATAAAGTAGTATCATGTTATGTATATAATGTGTGCGATATGTATTAAAACATATATACACATGTTTATAACTCATATCTTTATCTCTATTTATCATACATACTGTACATGTATATATGAGTGTATGCAAAAGCATGCAGAGAGAACATATGTTAACAGTGGTGGTGAGGGTATATGAGAGGGAATGGTAAAGGGTTGTGTTCATCTTTAACTTTCTAATTTGTAAAAGAACAAATTAATAACCACTATGTTGTTGAAGTTGTTATAATATTTCATCTGAAAAATTGCAAAAGTTTCCTCCTGGTTTTCCTTTATTTAAAATCTCACATAATTTATTATTTCTCCACTAGTAGAAATCCTATTAACACTTCAAGAACTAATCCTTACCCTAATACTGATAAGTAAAATTAGCTATTCCTTTGATTTTTGGTATAAAACTTAAAAACTTGATATTTTATAGGGACAGTTTGGTATATTTTTGTGTCATTTATTAAAGTGTGAGCTTCTTGGTATGAGAGATTTTTCTGCAAACATAATATTTATCATTTTGCTTTATAAAAACAGGGATGTTTTGATTATTATTATTTTTTTTTTGAATTTTGCAATATACTGACTAATTGGAGTATAATGCCACAGCATTCAGGAGCATACATTTTGACATTGGACAGACTTGGACTTTTACTTCAGCTCTGACACTTACTTGTTCTGTGATCTTGGGCAAATAACCTAAACACTTACCATTTAAATAATAGCACTGAGCTCAGAGGTTTATTGTTGACATTTAATGTGAAATGCATGTACAATTTTTTTGGCATCCTGTTTGTAGTTTTAGTTTTTATATAAATACATTTGTGTTTCTTGTATCAACTAGGTCTATAGATTTTAACTGGCAGAAGATCTTCATCTAGAAACTAAGACGCTCTAGCACTATATTAAGATCCATGATGAAGCAAGTAGGCTGGGCATGTTTGAATAACATAAATGGAAATACTGGGGGCAGTGATTATCTGGGAATTCAGGTGCTCATCTCTTATTGTGACTGTGGAATAATAATTACATATATATATACACATACACATATAGAGAAAGAAATATATAGATGTATATATGTTAAAACTCTTAAAATCTCTGTAGTTATAGGGATGGTGGGAATCTTTTGTTCTCTTATTTAATCTTTGATCCTGGTTCCTGTCACAGGGCTTCTAAATCCCTTGGAATTTCCTAGGTGAGAGTGACATATTTTGTTCTGATGAGCTGAATCTTGATAGGCTCCTATATAAAGCTTCAGGATAGAAAGACCAAGGCATAATAATAAACTTAGAACTTACAGCTGGACAGAAGTGTTGGTAATCTGGGGACCCACTACTCATGGTTGGTGTTTGAAGAAGGAGCTGGTATTGTGGATCTGAGCCCTTAACCTGGGGATTCTGCTCTAACTCCAGGGAGTTTGTGCCATAATAGAATTGTATGACACGCAGTTGATGTCTGAAGAGTTGTAGAATTGGTTAGTCTAGGTAAAACTGGCACATCTGGTAACAGAAGTATTGAATGAAATAAAGAAAACAGTTTGTTTTTTTCTGTATGATGATTTACCCACATAAACATTAATAATGTGTTTCTCTGTCTCTCCTTGTTTTGACCTCCACTGATACAGTTTTAATCCTAAATTCCATGTGATTGACATTTTTTTTTTGGTTGGTTTTGATGGCTTCTTTATGCCAGCTCCCAATTTTGCTTACCTGATATCCACAAGCCATCTGATTGTTTATCCTGTTTGCCCCACTTTTTCTTGAACATGTGGTTACATATTTGAACTTGGAACATGTTCTGTTTTAGAATCTACAGTTGGAGAAGGATGTATAAAAAGAGATCTGAGAGAAGACAGATGGTAAATTGTCTGGAAACATTGTCAAATGAAGAACAGTTGTGGGAAAAGCTAGAAAAGAAACAAAATACTGAGAGACAATAGTAATAGTGTTTAAATATTTGAAGAATTGGCATGCAGATTCTGGAGTGAACTCTATTTCCTGGAGATCAAGGCAAATAGTAATGGTTGAAAGATATAGAATGAATAGAAATTAATTTCAATATAAGATTCTTTACACATCTTTAAATGTCTCTCTTTACATTTTTTGCACTTGCTTTATTAAATGCATCTGATATATTCTGTCAACTAAGATGTCAGAAGCAGATGGAGTATGATGTGAGTAATCCTGAGAAGCGGTTGTAACAACCACCCATTTCAAGCACTCAGCATCTGCAGATGCTCTGTTACAGCTGCCACCTCTGCCTTATATATGATGCATTGGACTCCAAAAACACAGCAGAACTTGTACTCCTGATGTGAAAACAAAATGCTGTTTGGACCCTTTTTCAACTAGGGGCCATGTATGCCTTTCCCTGTTTTTCGTTCCTAGAGTCTCTTCTTTCCTCACAGAACTTTATCTCCATCTTCAAGTATTCTCCTATTTCCTGACTTCTGCTGTCAAGTACTAGTGACAGAGTGTTTTGTTCCAAAGCAAAGTTGCTATTCGGCAGACTCTGGAATCTTGAATGGTATCTTCCTTTTCCTTACGGTGGCTCATCGAATAGTCCATCCTCTAACCATTTTTGGTAATCCCTCTAGTGAGTACAGCATCCAAATTTCTGGTCTTCATGAAAAAGCCTTCTAGGATAGCTATCAGATAATATAATTCTGGGAAACACAAGAAAACTGATTGCTTTAATTAAAATATTTCAGTAAAGACAGAATGTTCTACTAGCGACATTGCAATGCTTACATTAGCAGGAAATTGAAATATGATATTTGTATGTCTATAGAAAACCTCCTGGACCCACTTCAAATTGTCTTTGTCTGAACTCTTATTTTAGACATTTCTTTATTGACAAGTCCCAGAAGGCTTCATTCCCATAGGTATAATATGGACATGCCTTGACTTAGACTTCAGCCTCAATCCCCTCACTCTTCCCCTTGGTCTTTGCTGATACTGCAACATGGGACAGCCAGGGGAATGTAGTCGGCACATTTTCCAGCACATATATAGGGAATGGGGGTTATTATTCCATTAGACAGTTCTCGATGCTAAGACTCAATATGGCACAGCTCCTCCCCAAAACCAACCACTTGGCAGTGTGTGAATGACCATCATATCCCTTCCATCCTAGAAAGACAAGGAATTCATTCTTAATAGAAATGACACAAAAGCCAGATATGAGTTCTATTTCTCTGTGTACAATGCATCTATAAGCATCATCATCTATATGCCTGCTTTACCACCATAGCATATAGCACAATATTGTATCATATCAACGGTCCCATTTTATGTCAACAGAGATGCAGTAATAGGCATGAGACTATGGGATCTGCTGGTCTAAAGTACACTCTGTCACTCAAAAGCAACTGGTCTGATGAAATGATGAAATAATCTGTTATAAATAACCTGTTATCCTTTGAAATATAAAATATATTTCTATAAGGAGAGCACCAAATCTCAGGCCCACTCTGTATAAGTCTGTCCCAAGTTTGCTCCATCCAAGCATTCAAAATATGCAAATAGAGAATGTGAGGAAATTAATATCTCATGGAGCATTATTTTAACATGAGGATAGAAACGGATAAATAAGTATTATGCCTTTTTTTTTTCTGCCAAGTAAGTGTTCGTGAGGTTTCTCATATGGTCTTAAGAAATCAAGTACCTTGTTTTCATAGCAATGGTTAATTTGATAGCATTGAGTCTCTCCACATTTCTGATTTCCTTGTCTTATCCTTCACTCTTGGTTTCTGGGACTGCTCTCTCAAATAAACTAGTCATACATAATCCTTTGTCTCAGGCACTACTTTCTGAGAAACACAGGATAAGAAATACCTAAAGGCCCCACCAATGTTGGCAATGTATCTATTTCTCTAATGGTAATTGCACTCTAAATCTGGCCAACTTTTCCATAATAGCCCAGCAGAAAGATCCTGGGCTCCTTATTGCGAAAGGAGCTGTCACTATTTGCTTCTGATCGAAAGGCCAAGAGGGTACAGTCAGTAACCTCTTTTTAGTCTGTGACTTAAGGGGTACAGTTCTGTGCTATTAATCATTTGAAAGACAAAATAAAACTGAATCAAAATGGCATGATTAACACAACAGTGCCAAGTTTAGGTTTTAGTATTTGGCAATAAGGACATGCAATAGAAATATTTGGCAATGGATGTTGCTGTGGGTTTATGCAGATGAGAATGGACATGTTTTCTTTGAGGCCATGACAACCACAACATCATTATTATAACATAAATAACTTCAGACAAAGGGTCTTGAGGGTTGTATCTGACTCACTGTGAAGAAACTAAAGACATTTTTAATCCTTAAATATTTTTTATTCTTTAATCAAATATAAGAGCATGAGAAATTCTGCCACTTAATCCTCTGATGTGATTAAGCTTAGTCTGTTTTGTGAGAGCTACCATGACGGATAATGACTAGATTTGTAGATTTTGGCTACTGATACACCTAACTGGTTTGCTGTCAGTTGAGTTGAGTTACTCTATTATGTTTAGATGAGAGCTGGGTTCTTATGATCATCATTTTTAACTACCATTTCCTCCTACTTGCAGAGGTTAAAAAGCTAAAACACAAAATTTCCCAGAGTCCCTCCCAGGTTCTAAACGTAAAGTGCGTTTTGTTCATTGGATATATTTGATGAAGTTTTGGAAGGCAAAAATGAAGTTACATTTATCTTCCTGTGGCTCTTGACTATCACAACAAGCCAGCAGTATAGATTTATGGGGCTTCCCCACAGTGGTATTCTGAAGTCCCCTCCCCAGCTTCCTAAGCATAATAGATACTTACAGGATGATAGTGGTTGTTTCTTGCTCTTAGTATAGCCTCAGAAGAGTGACTGCCATAGTGGTTCAATGCTGTATTATTTATGGAGATATTCAAGGAAGTCATGCATTCCGGGAGACAATTTTTTTTTTTTTTTTTTTTTTTTAGCACTTATAATGACTTCCTAAGCGTTTAATTCCCTGAGTCAAATACCTTGCTGCTTAGAATGTCCGGATTGGCTTCTGTTTTCTTCCCTAGTCCCTAATGGATGAACCCAGTTAAAGAGAACTAAACCTCATGACATAATAAAGAGTGGAATTTCATGTGATTGAGGAAGTACCATCACAGAGATAAAGAATATGCAGTGAAATCTATGTCCACATTTTCTTTTAAAATACCATGTGTTAAATATATTAGCAAAAGTGAGAGAAGCAAGGTCCAAGATAAAAACCCCTGGCTTGTGTTTATTTTTGAAGGACTTAATAGAGTTAGATGGATTTGGTGACTGGGAAAGAGACGACACTAACCTTTGGGCATATGTGTATTCTGGACTTTAAACCATGATACTTTCTGTAGACCTTAAAAAAATAACATAATGTCCTTTTTTAAAAAGTAGGGGTTACTTAAATTCTACCTGTCTTTGATTTTTTTTTTCAATGTAAAAATACAAGATATACCTACACACTCTATGTTCAATTCCTATCTTCCATTTAATGATCTTCAACTCAGAGTAATGTTCTGAGGGAAAAGAAACATTTTCCACATTGGACACTCATGTTTCTTTGATGAAAGCTGTTATGACAGCCAGTGAATGTGCATCCTGGATCCCATAAATTCCTGACACTTCTATCAATACCCAGAAAACATGGTTTATCAACAGATTGTAACTTTAGGAGCAATTCACAGATTCTAGAAGATGGGAGTTTAAATGATACTAGACATCATCTGATTTTCTGAACATTAGCTCTTTGTTGATTTATTTTTTAAAGAGTTCTAAAACAGTACCAAGTCTTACTGGCATTATTATCTGGAATTCATTAAATATAAAATGTGTGCAAAAATTTTTTAAAGTTACACATTTTTCAGTTTTAGCAAATGGTGAAAAACCTGACTCTTAGAATATATTTCCAATCATGTTATTTTATTTTTGTAGGAAAACATGGATTATTTCCCATGTTCACTCAACAGCTCATAATCGCTTTTGAAATCATAAATGACATACAAAAACAGTCTCTTGCTCTTTTGTGCTACAGCTGTTACCACTATCTCTGTTTATAGGACTCTATGCATTTTTCATAATTTTTAGTCTTAAATAGTGATTTGCATGGCACAAAAATTTACAAATTAAAATAAACTCAATGACATAGAAATCCTTCAAGATGTAAAATTTTTTAATGAAGTCCAGTTATTTTCAGATGTCCTAAAGATGGAGTTATAAGAATAATGATCATTAAAACATTCATTGTGCTAAACATATAGTGAATAAAGAGAAAATATATCAAAAACACGTCTTTAAATTCCTTAGAAGCAAGAATAAAAATTTTATCAAAAATAAAACTATGGTGATGGAAGTGGCCCTGGCTTGGATGTTGAGAAGTATATTTCTGCTATTTATTGCTTTAATGAATATAATTTCTATGCTTGCTTAGAGTTTGAAAGATGTATGTATGTTGTTGACTTACTGATTACTTAGCACAATCCTCTCTTAGTGCAGCATTGTCACTGGTGACCTCTTTGTCCTGAAATTACTAAGAAGATATTAAAATAAATATTTTTACTTAATTTGAATTTTTAATATCTGCCTCTGCCAAGCTGCTTCAATGCCTGCCAAAGAGGAATGGAAATGAATAAATTCTAAAAATATTTCTCTTCCATTGGCCTGAAACATTCCTTTGAGGGAGAATTGAAAGTGTTAGTGGTTCCTCTTGTATCACAGAGGTGATCTGTTCATACAATGGGTTGAATGACTAATGTGTTAATGTCTGGAAGACAGACAATGGGGATTTTAGCAGAGCTAGCATGTTCCTTCTGCATCCTCCATGCACTCCCACATCCCCCCCACACACTCACTTCTATAAAAGCACCTAAGTATCATTTGAAGTTCATGTGGTAATTGTTTGCCAGGAATTGCCTTCACTTAAGGGAACAGAAGAAACAACAAAGAAAAAAAAATTATCTGGCAAGAAGGTACATATGCCATTTATCCCTTTATCTGTTGCTCTTTGTAGACATTCGAGGGATAATTACGATCAAACAAGTGCTTTATCTACTATGGCAAAATTTCTCCAAGGAAATATTTCATTCAGCATATGGCTTTGACTTATCCTGTCAACCACCTCTCTTCTCCCACAATTTTTCCTTCTTTATTTCTTTTTTACATTAATATATTACACAACGGAGTAATATTTTCACAAGGGAATCAAGCCAGGGTTTAGAGCTCTTTCCTTAGGCTACTAATCATTTCACAAATTTAACTGATAGTTGCTGATGATTTTTCTCACCACTACTTAACCCTTTGCAAGCGGCTTTCTACCCGCTCCGTAATCTGAAAAATATTTCTATCTTCAAAGTCAACAGTGTCTTTCCAATGGCTAATAACAAAGATTTTATTTTGGTGTTCAATATTGTCACACACTTATTAAAAAATTTGTTTCTGTTTTTATTAATGCAATATTATTTATTTGGGCTCTTTTTCTACTTTCCTGTTTCTTTTCTGTTTCCCGTCTTTCTCTTTTCCTCGTGTGTTTTCCACCATTCCTAAAGGTGTTCACCCAAAGTGTGTATCTCTCTTTTTCTTTCTACTCTTTATTATAAGCTTCTGTGATTTCCTCATCATAATTTGGAGAGGAATCTAAAATTATACACTTAGCATTAGTCTTTTCTCTCCAGGTCAAACATATAAATTTAAAAATTCATATAATAACTCTGCATGAATGATGAGGTATCTCAAACCCAGTATGTACCAAACCAAACTCAACATTGTCACTTCTTATGGCAGGCAGAATTCTAACTGTGACCAACATCCCCACTCTCCTGTCTGCACATCCTGCATAATCTCTGGGACTGTGAATATATGAGGATTTTTACTCCACGACTCAGTTATATTTTATGGTGTATTTGACATTAACAAAAAGAGATTACCCAGATAAGCCTAACCTAATAACACAGAAAACTTTAAATCTGAGTCTAGAGGTCAGAGACAGAGAAAGTCAGAGATATGGGCCTTGAAAGGGATTCAAAGCAAGGAAGAGTGTTTGTATCTGACTGAATATGGAGGGTAACAGCATGACAAGGAATGAAGACAGCCTTTCAATACTGAGTGGTCCCAGCTAACAACCATCACGATAATGGAGATAGCTCTACAACCAGAAGAAGCTAAGTTCTTCCAATAACCTGAATGAACTTGAAAGTAGATTTTCCCCTAGAGCCTCCAGATGAAAACTCGGCACAGTGGGACACCTTGAATTCAGCTTTATAACTGCTTGAACAGAAAAACCAGCCATGCTGTGCTTATATTTTAATCTATGGGAGCAGGGGGTGTGAAAGAGAAAGAGAGAGAGGAGAGGAAGGAAACAGGGAAAGGAGGAAGGGAGGGGAAAAGTAAAGAAAAAATAAGGGCTTCCTATCGCTTAGTAAAAGTCAAATACTTTAGCCTGAATTTTCACATGTAGAACCCTAAATTGGCATGGTAGTGCAATATATTTTAAGCAATGAAATAATGTTATTAAGGTCACAGGATCTGTAGCCAACTTGGGTTTGAATCCCTCTCTTTTAACTATTTTCTTTCTGTTCTTGGGCAAGTTATTTTATCTTTATGTGTTTTAGACTTATATCCATAAAATGAGGATGTTAATAATAACACCAATCTCATAGGTTTATTTGAGGATCAAATGAACTAATATATTAAGTACTTTAAAAAGTACTTGGTCCATTGAAACCATTATATATTTTAGGCTTATATTTTCTCAACCTAATTTTTAAGAATTAATCAACTATAATAAATGTGTCTGCTTTATTCTCTGAATCACTTACTCTAGTGTCTTATATGTACTCAATTCCAGATTATTGAATGAATATTGATAGAGCAGACACTTTTTCCCTGAGGCATAGCCACTCATCCTTCCTTGCCAACAATATCTGAGTTTGTTCTGGTGTTTATGTGCTTCAAGAGGTTGGGCTCTTTTCCACCTTCTGTTGAGAAATCTTGTAGATCATAACCAATGGTGGTAACTCCATGCCCATGGCCAGTAATTCATTTAGAAGTAAACATGTGCCACAATTTTCATCAAGGAAATGTTAGGCCATATCTGGAGTGAGAGTGGAGGATAGCATTGTCAGATAGTATTTGTTGTTTTTAAAAGAAGGTATTTAGAAAGAGGACATTGTATTTTCTGCCTCTGGATGTTGTCATCTGTAACACTTAACACCTATGCAGCCGGCCGGGCGCGGTGGCTCACGCCTGTAATCTCAGCACTTTGGGAGGCCGAGGCGGGCGGATCACGAGGTCAGGAGATCGAGACCATCCTGTCTAACATGGTGAAACCCCGTCTCTACTAAAAAAATACAAAAAACTTAGCCGGACATGGTGGTGGGCGCCTGTACTCCCAGTTACTCGGGAGGCTGAGGCAGGAGAATGGCGTAAACCCGGGAGGCGAAGCTTGCAGTGAACCGAGATCACGCCACTGCACTCCAGCCTGGGTGACAGAACGAGACTCCATCTCAAAAACAAACAAACAAACAAACAAACAAACAAAAAAAACCACACCTATGCAGCCATCCTGAAACAATGGGTAATATTCATCCGAAAACAGAGTTAGCTGAAGAGCACAAGTTAATGTGATGAGGATGGCATGGCAAAAGATAGAAGGAACCTATACTGTATGATGTCACTGGACATTAGTAATGCTTAAATTGTCCAAACTCAAGACTTACTCTTTTGTGAGATAATGAAGAGCCTCAATTCTAAGCCATTTATAGTTATGATCTCTATTGCTTTGAAATGGAATATTCCACATGACACACTGATATGTATGAAACTCATATTAGCAATGAGATTAAATAATGCTAATTTTCTAGTTATAAAGTGTTCTCTAATTTTTAATAAACTGATCAAACCATGTCTAATTTTCTCAATTATGCTCCTTGTTATAAAATCAGATATTTGTTTTTCATTACAGTTGGCTCTGGGTTAGTTACAGAGATATATTATTTCAACAACAATTATTATGAAAGTCAAGAAAATGTAATCATCCTGTAGATATAAATTAATTATT